GAGAGAGAGAGAGAGAGAGAGAAAGAGAGAGATAGTATTAATTAATGAATAAACGTGGATCAAGATCCAGATCTAGGTCTAGATTTTGTTGTGCACCCAGCCCAGAGTGTGCACTTCGGAAAGTAGATCGAAATCTAGATTTTAACTTTAGATCTAGATCTAGATCTAGTGGTTGGCGAATGACCGAAGAGCGACTCTTGACAAGGCTACTTGCCTGTGAATTGACGGAGACCATTCAACTTGATTCATATTATCATATCAACAGTAGATCTACTTAAGCTTCTCTACTTGTTTCAATGGCTTCTTTTTCGGTGCACCTGTACAACTGCGGTCCCGTTTAATGTTTACATGACGGCCATTGTCATGTGGGAGTGAATCTAGATCAAGATCTAGATTTGAGATCTTTATAGACCCTATCTCTAGATTCTAGATAGCCAAGATAATTTATCTCTAGATCTATAAAATTTTAATTCAGTTTAGATCTAGAATCTAGATTCAAATCTAAATCTACATCTAGATATCTAGATATCTAGATCTAAATAAGAAACACGTAAAAACTACTAGATTTTACAGGGTCACTTAGGCCTAGATCTAAATCTAGAGTGATGTAGATCTAGATCTAGAAATCTACGGACATTGCACACCAGCTATTTAGAATTGATTAAGTCGAGATAGATTCAGGGGTGAACACTTTAGATCTAAATCAGATGTAAATTATTCCATATAGATCTATCTAGAATCTTGGCCTTTCTAGGGACATCTCTCTGCATCTCAATCTAGGTTCTAGATCTAGATCTAGAATCTAGAAAAGCACACCTAGATCTAGGCCTAAGCCTACGACAACAGTCGAAACTAGGTCAACCTCTCGATTCGAAGTTTCAAAGTATGATAACGTGCATTTCTGGGTGATTTTGTGGCCAAGTGTTGATGCTAGCATCAATATTTAATAGTAAAGCACCTAATAATACTTACTTCTTGTTGATTTTGATGATCTGAGAAGAGTTTCAGTCGAAAATAAACACGAAGCGAGGCGACACATGTCCGCCATTTTTACAACACTGAAAATAAACACGAAGCGAGGCGACACATGTCCGCCATTTTTACAACACTGTTGAATAGCACGTCTGACGCATCGCGCAGCTCTGCTGACAACAGACAGACGATACAGCGACACTTCTCAGGAACACAATAAAGTATACATTCATTTTCACAGTGTGAGCTAGGCGAGCTACAGGTCAGACCTACAGAGCCACTCTGGGACCGGCGTAAGGGTTAAAGGTAAGGGTGTTGGTAGGGAAAGGGATAGAGGTAGGAGTTCGGATAGGGGTAGGGGTAGAGATAGGGTTAGGGGTAGTTCTAAGTCCCTTCTTTATTGTTTTTGTTAAGGTGGTCTCTCGTTACGGTCGTCCTTCCTTTTCCGTTCTATTTTAGATGGAAATTACCCTGAATAAATGGGGTTAGGATTAGGGTTAGGGGTTGTTGGTCAGCTGCCCTCTGTGGAAGGTCTTCCCTATTTTTGGATAGGAATGACCTTTTAAGCAAATTGTGATCAGCTCTACACAGTCCATTGTTGACGCTCATAAGACCTTATGCAATTGCGAGTGCCGTAAAACCTCTACTAAATAAAAATATAAAATATAACAGTCTATTTTGTGGTCACACCTAGAGCATTGTCATTTCAATTAAGAACAAACCAACAGTTAGCAATCTGAATGTCACTGACAAAGCCATTTCTGACCACCGTTGAGTTACAATCAGAATAGGGCCTACTGAGTAACTATCTGAAAACTATTGGTGTTTTTAATTACTGTTCATTTATATTATGCAT